TGAGTCATATGTTTAATCTTTCTGGAAAGAAAATCAAGAACACAATAACAGCGATGGCTTCTGTGGTAGGGTCCCAAAAGGCTGAGGTTCAGGAATCCAAGGAAGACTTAGGGGTCCTATATATCTTAATTTTTTATAAGATTGCATTTTTACCATGAACATTTATTATTTTTTTCAAACTAAGTAAGAAGTATATCATATTTGATAGTTTTGCAAGTTCTTGTATTTAAGCCCAAGAGGAAATCAAGGCCCTCATAAATGTGATATCAAAATGATAAATATTCAATAACCATATATTTGGCAATTTTATAAACTTCACATTGCCCTAGGCAATCTCTTGTTTGGATGCTCATGGAAATTTTGTAGTTGTGAAGGAAGGACATTTGTAACTTTCTTTTGAAAGAGGTATACATTCCTTAGATATAAAATATGGGAGGAAATAGTGTCGATCTCCAAGAAAACAAGAGCTTCGAAAACACAACAAGCACCCTGCACATTTTATATGCCAGGAAAGGGGTCTCTATGCCCAAGATACTATGAATCTGCTTGCAAGGTTGAAATATGCATTCATTGTTTAAAAAATAAATAAAAACCCTCTGCCAGTAGACTCTACCCACCCTTAACTGGCTTATTTGCTCAGTGTTTTTCTGACTCTGTCAAACAAATGTATTCTACTTTAAGAAAACCCACTATTTGAATATCGGACTTACAGAAAAAAAAACTTTAAAGGAGTGCCCACTTGTTTTCCTTAGTATTACTTTAAATATGAAAATAATAAACATTTAAAATATGATTTAATATAAAAAAATTATACAGAAATTTCAGGAACACCATCATTGAAGACACAGGTACTCAGTAATTACTTGCTGGTTGGATGAACATACCTATTGAAAATCAGTAGAGTGAAATGGATAAGAGTGTGGGTTGGAATCCAGATATCTCTGTGTTTGGATTTCCTCTGCCATTCATTAGCTGAGTCTGACCTTCAATAAGTGACTTAACCTCTTAAAAACGTCAGTATTTCTTAAAGAAATAAATGAGTAACTCCTCCCTTGTAGTTAGTTGTATTAAATGAAAGATCTAGGTAAATACAGGTAAATAAAATATGGGTATATTCTATCATGTATTATAATATCATATATTATTTCCTTCACTTAATTTCTGTTTGCCTGAATGGAGGCAAATGAGTGGCAAGAATAAAACATAAGTGTTATTATATTGTCAGTGATATAATATAGGTACCTAAATATAAACATAATTATACATTTTATTTTATATACATATAGCACCGGCACATAGCCTGGCACGTAGTAAATATTTGGTAAAGCGTGGTTACTATTGTGAAAAGTAACACAAAACATTCTTTACAAAGACTAATTTTATGTATAACATTTCAGGATATTTTATTGCACTGGTACAAGGAGAAGTAAGACTGTGTAACTGAGATTTTTATGGCCTTAAAGTTATGGGAAAACAATTAACAGGCATATAAGTGAATTGTGGCAGAGATTCAACCCGCAACAACTGCTACCATCTATTGAGTGTGTGATGATCGGTCATTCTGCAGAGTAAATACTGGGCCTTAATATCCTTTCCAAGTTAACTTTATAGGATCACCTGCTTCTTACTTTCTTGATGAAAAATATTAAGTGCAAATGTTTTATTTCATTTCCCAAGCTAGAATAGAATTTCACTTGCTTGGAGTGGGAAAGGCAAAACTGGTACAAGCTGCTTCAAATTGAGAGGCTAAATGAGTGAGTGTATTCCCACAGATGACCAAAGGCTTCTTCTTTTTCAGTTTTCTGGCTTTTTCCCCCCTTTCCTTCTAGCACTTGTAGTTTGTTTAATAAAAGTTGAGAATTCTCACAAAGGGCCTTATAAACACGTGTTATGAGATTTTAAATCTGATTTGAAAGTGCCTCTCTCCTGCTCCCTCTGAGTAAAGTGACCTTTTTAAATGGAGGGAAGTGGGTTTAGATGACAGTCATGATAAATGCGGTCATGTTCACTCAATAAAATAAGGCCCAGTGCATTTGAGGATAAATCAGTGAAATGTACAGCCCCACCTGTCTGTCTCCATCATTCATTTCCACTGTCACTTTCACAGTGGCTGATGGATCACAGTTGCTGTAAAATTAGACAGCCTTTAATCTCATTTCATCCTGATTAGCTTCTCTTTACCCTTTCCCTCTAACTCACTGACTGACACGCTAAAAACTCACACTGGGCTGCAGATGAACATGGAGTACAAACTTCGCCTCCAGTACTGCTTGTGAGGGCGAGGTTAGTGTCCACCTCTAGAGAAATCTAGAAAGGGTCAGGCGTGTATTCTTTGTTATTTAAAATGTGATCAATAAGTACAGTACCTGATGCCATTTTAAACAGATGTTTGCCCTTGCTTGCTGCCCTATTTATTTTACTTTCCTTCAGGTTTAATCAGAAATCAGAGAAAGTGGCTCTTTTGCAAAACTCAAACATTGATTTAATATAGATTTTCTTCTAATAAATTTGGAGCATTTTACATTCAGAATAATTTCAGAGAGCTTTTGTGTGTATTTATAGACTCTCAACTCATGGTAATAATTCAAAAAAGACAATAATTCAGGAATGAGAATACTGAAATTCTCTGCCAAGAAAGATAGCGTACAAGGTTTAAAAACAAGAGTATATATGTGAAGATAAATAAGAATACCTTCAAGTAACCTTTATATTAGAACTTCAAAGACCTTCTCTCTTATTTTGAAGGTTTCAATAGTCAGTGCAGTAGTTTCATTTGTTTGCATAAAGCATAACAATAGGGGTAATCAAATGAAAAAGAGGCTTAAGAATAAATCACTATTATTTCCTTCACTTAATTTGTGCTTGCCTGAATGGGAGCAAATGAATGGCAAGAACAAAATACAAGTGTAGTTATATTTTCAGAGATAGTGCTGTATTATAATGCTGGGCTTCCAGTTAAAAAGAAGATAATACAACTTTTTATTACTTATAAGACTTGGACATTGAACGGGCCAAAAATTTAAAATAAATATTGGAAGAGTGATTGTCATCAAGTTAGTTGGGTATAGTCAGTGGCCTCTATTCTCACACTCATGTCTCATGGGAGTAGATGGCAATCAGTGCTATGAGTTTACACTGACCAGATGACACTGTGATGAACTGAGTAGCGCCAGACTGTTCATGAGATACTTAACATATGGGTAGCATAGTTTGTTTTTGGGATTTTGGAACAATCATCATAATCCAAACGATGAGTTAATTTAAAAGAGAAAAGAAAAAAAGATATTCAAAACATATCTAATCTTAGTTGCTCAATGACCTCAACATATACTCTGCCCCAAATGGGTTCTAAGAAGTGAAGCCTGCAGAATCTATATGGTTAAAACTGTTTCCCAAAGAGACAACTGAGGGTTGAGGAGGAAAAGGGCATCCCCAAGATGACCCCCTAAGTCAATCGACCTAATCAATGGGCCTCACAAACCAAGGACACACCCAATTTCTTCTACATTAGCCCCAAAATCAGGGGTGTACATACCAATGCCTTCTCCCTTGTGGGTATCAGTTCAAAAACAATGAATGGTCACAGTAAAAATTTTAAAAAATGATAAAACAATCAAAACTCTTAAAATCCTTTTGTAAAAAGCTTCAATGACCTGATTTGCTCTTTCAGAAGCTGTGTTATAGGTTTCAAAGCTTTGCCTGTTTCCTATTGTTTTTATTACTTATCTTGGCCTACCTAAGCACATTCTGAGAAAAATAAAAAAAATAATAAAAACAAAATGACATGAAAGATATGTATCATCCAAAATGAGTCGGGTGTAAGATAGGTGTGTTCTCTCTTTTTCCCTCTCTCTCTCTCTCTCTCCCCACTGGAAAAAGAGCACAAAGTAAGATCTGGCCTTGGCTCACATTGATTTCCCACTGCACTGGTTTCTTAAGTGCTCTGTTGATCCGTGTCAAGCAATAAGCTCCCTGCCTGAACATGCACATCACCTCCCCATTTTTCCTCACCTAGATTTAAGGTGCCCATATGATGAGCTGAACAAGGACATCATTTTTACTACTGGTGCCACTGGGCCCAAGCCACTGCCTGCGTTATAACTAATGCTGTGGATGTTTACATTTACCATACGATATTATAATAGCAGAGATTAACACCGCACCGCACAGGGTGGGGGACAGGGGTGTCCTGTCCTGGTTGTGCGTGTCTCCCAAATGAAAATGTAAATGAGAACAAACACAGAGAAACCCGGCGTTCATGGGCTTCTGAGTCACACCCCCACCTCGCAGCCACCACATCGGGGCAGGGAGAAGGGCGAGCGGAGGGGAATGAATATTTGTGATGTTTCTGACAGTTTTTATCTGTGTTACAGAAGAGCTCCTAAGCAGATAGATAGAAAATGTGTGATTGTGCTGCTAATGACATTGGACAGGAAATTAAGCGTATACATTTGGAGAAGGCATTAAATCAGCAGGACCTTAATTTAAAAACTTAAAACTGTATGGAAATGCAGCTTGCTCATTGCTGTGGAATAGAAAGCTACCAAGCACACTGAGTCTGTTTATGGAAAGATTGCCAGCAAACCAAGTTTGGGCAGAGCATCGTAACGGCTCCAAGTGTATGCAGGATTATTTCTTCCAAGAAGCAACCCCAGCCCTGACCCTTTGGGAGTTTCGAGCATCGTTTCAGAATGAGATCCCCATCATCAGACAAGCGAGGAGAACTTAAGAATAGAAAGCAGCATGACAGGTCGTTCTTGACTAATCTGTGGAATAACATTATGTAAAATTCATCAAAAGGGGTTGGGTTTGCAGTGCTGGGAACACACCATTGAGCCACTGTGGATTGGTGGGTGCCCCGCTCTGCCGCTTGACTCTCTTCTTCCTACTGACTTCTTCTCACATTTTATACACTTTAGGGAGCGCAAATAACTAGTGAGCCAACGGGCAGGTCCTAAGGTGGAAAATTTCATGCATCTGTTTTTTCCTCTTCATTCCAGTTATGCCGTACAACAGTGCCCACCACTGCGTTGTGGAGGTAGAGAATTTCTTGTTTGTGTTGGGCGGAGAGGACCAATGGAACCCTAATGGTAACTATTGAACAATGTAATGAAAGGCACTGGTAACAGTCCAGTCTGTAATTACTGTGGGAAATACGTATCTGTGCAGCAGGGACCAGTGAAGTAGTCAGTGAATTGGGCTGACAGTTGGAAGGAGGGTCAATCACTGAGCTAGCAGAGGACTGCGCAGCAGAGCATTCACTCCCTCGCTGCCTGGGGATTTGGCTTCGCACTGACGCCCCAGCCCCTCTCCTTATCCGTCCCTTGAGGAATGCCACAGCGCAGGCATGGGCTCCCTGGGGACAGGTGGCAAGCTGCAGCTATTAAGAATTCTCACCACCTTCTCCACCACTGCTCTCCCATTTTACCAGTGTAACAATGCAGTTTCAATAATTAAGCATTATCTGCAGTCCCGCTGTACAAAACCTTCGCCGAAGTTCTTTTGCAGCATTTATTACGTGAGACCCATTCGAGTTGTCCCACCTTTTACGGGCTTCTTCCAAAGATCATCCACCATCCTCCCTGTTGATGTGATTACTTCATAAATTTATAGCAAAGAGAAATTAAAACACTTTCACGCATTTCCCAAGCCAAACACAGGGAGAACACTGTGCCTTGCAGAACACGCAAAATTATCAAGATATTTTTGGAAAGCTTGCACGTGGAGGAGGAGCTGCAGTTGTAGCCTTCTGTGTAACAGAGATCATTATGACTGAGAAACCATAAAACAGCTTGCAGGTACACATTTTTACTTTAAAACCCCAGAACATCCAGATGAAATTACATATACTGCATATATTTTATTGTGAATGCTCTCTTTTAGCATCTGTGCCAAGGCAAATTATAGAAAATGGTTACATCTGTTCAGTCTAGAAAATCTTAAAAGAAAACAACCCAGGCCACCCTCCGAGAACATTTCTTTGAAGTGAGGTGGACATTAGTTCTTAAGACCTGCAGCATAGCTGGTTCACATCTTTAATGGTTGGAAAGGAGACAGTTCCTGGGCTCGGTGAGAAACAGATTTGGAACAGGAGCAAAAATGATATGTAATATCTCTCCTCTAACTTACCTTTGAAATGACGCATTTGATCTTACCAGAAGCCTGGGCATACATACAGATCCCTGCAAACTCCCCATTTGCTGTTTAACCTGTCCTTCCTCGGAAGTGATTTCGGCTGAACAGAGCATCTGTAAGTGAACTTGCAGTGCACTGTCATCAAGTTTATCTAAGCAAAGAATCTGCAGAACCTTCTCTTTAAAGTCCAAGTTAAAACTAACGCATGACCAAAAGAAAAAGCTGGAGAGCCTTGTTTCTGATGACAGTGCTCCCTCAGCCCACCTTTCTTCCCAGGTGGAATAAGCCTCTGTCAAAATACCAGTCTCAGTGCCATAGCTCCCTGTTCACAAAACTCTGTGAACCTCCCATTCCTGTGAGACAGACCCTAATCAATAACACAGAAAATCTGCTCCCTAGGTTTACGTCCCCCCAAAATGACCTGTAACTAGTTTCTGTTCAACTTCTATCAAAGACACAGCTCAGAGGATTGGATCGGGGAATTAGGAGAGAGTTTAATGGACATACTCCTTCCTCTGTTCTAGAGAATCAAGATTTTATCTTTGAACTAATTCAGACTCCCATAAAATTGTGCTGTTGGACCTCACTGATCTGCCTCCCCCACCCCTGAGAAGTAAAGCAATTTGCTTTAAAGCCCTCAATGAATATGCTGTGGGAAAAGACTATGGAAAGCATAGCACTGCATTTCCTGTAGGGCCGCCTGTCTCCTCCCAGCATGCTCCATGTGAAGACCCAGGTGACAATTCCTGTCAGACCTAAATCTTGAGTCACTTTTGAAATTATGATTAATACTATTCATGTTACTGAAGGCAGGTAGCTTTTTGGCTTCCTCTTCATTGCCAGTTCCATGCCCTTAAAACCCATCTATCTCTTTAAAAGATTTCTTCAGACTATACCACCTGTTGCCCCTTGTGGCAGCTCTCCCCTCTTTTCCTGATAATTCCACCTCCTTCACTTGACTACCACTTTTTCACTGCCCATTATCCCCTCCTGTCCTTATTTCCCTCCTTATTGAGTTTATATTCTATTGTCCATGCCTATGACAGTCACACTAGTGCACACACCCACAATCCTAGTGTCCACCTCCTTCCATTGTACCTACCTAGTAAAGCCTTGGTCCTGGTTAAATCCATTCTGTTCCACCTCTTCCCTGCCCCTGAGCAACTAACTGTGGATATAGAAAACCTCTGGCTACTAATGAACCATGCTGACTTCTAGCCAATTCCACTAAATTGTCCTGATCAGTACACTCTCCCACCCTCCAGCTTAACTGTTTCACACCTTCTCTCTCAAACACCTTTCTCCAAAACCTCCCTCCTCACTCTCATTGCATAGCCTGTCTTCTTAGTTCAATTATAACCGAAGCAATCAGAAGATAAAAACCTTTATCTTGCTCCTACCAAATCTATTCACTTATATCTATGGCCACCCACATATTCTTTCTTTTCTCTTATTATTGTTTCTGTTCCAATCTAAGGTCTATTCTTCATTCCCTCTTGTTTGCTCAAGCACCTTTGCAATACTTCCAAACTTAAAAGCACAAACAAACAAATAAAAGTTTCTCTGGATGCTACATCCTCCAGCTATAATCTTTTTATGGCAGAAGTTCTAAAAAGTATTCCCTACCCTCTTTCCCTGCTTTCTCACATATTAGTTGCCCTGAAGGAGTCCCCTCTCAGGCTCACATTCCCACCTGTCCACTGAAGCAGTGCCATCCAGGCCACTAACCTCCATGTTGCCAAATCTTATGGTCAGTTCTCAGGTACTACTCCTCATTTTGAAATAGTATTTTATAGTTTCCAAAATACCACACTTTTCCTCCTATCTCTGACAATTTCTTTCCTTTGCTAGTTTTCCTTCTATCCTCGGGCTAATTCCCAGGATGTATATTACCTTCCATTTTCATACCCTCTCCCTAAAGGGGTTTCATTCTCATCTATGACTTTAATAATTCTGGAATAGTAACCCCAAAATTTGCACCTACAGCCTCATTTAGCCAGTGGCCTACCAGATACCTCCACTTTGAGATCCCACAGGCCTCTCAAGGTTAAGTCCAAAACAGAGCTAGCTCATGGCTTCTTTCCTCAGCCCCCAAGCTACTCCTGCTTGGTCTTCCTCACCTCAGCAGATCTCATGACCTTCCATCCAGTTACTTAGGCTAAAGACCTGGCAGCCTTCCTTAATCACATTCTCTTTATCTCATACTAATAATCAATCTGAAAATTGAATTGGCTGTTTCCATGCAATAGATCCCAAACCTGACCACATCTCTCTGCCTGCACCTTTATTCAGTGACCTCCTGATCGCTCCCCTGCTTCAACAGTGGCCCCTCTATAGTCTGTTCTTCAGTCAGCAGCAAGAGTCTTTGTAAAAGACAAACTAGACCATATTCCTTGCTTGCTTGCTCAAAACCCCCCAGTGCCTTCTTGTTGTCACTGTTCTGGACCTTGACACCTCTCTGGCTTCTGTCCAAGTCACTCCAGCACTCTAGCTGCTTTTGAATTCATGAGTAGCCCTGGGACTTGACACTCGCCTGCCCACTGCCCGAGGGGCTCATTCTGCAGCTATCTGCATGGCTTGCAAGAGGCATCTGGGACCATTCTACTTAAACTGGCCTCCCTTCTATCAATCCCTGCTTTATTTTTTTATAGCCTTCATCTACTTAATAGTATGTTATATATCTGTTTACTCATTTACAAAAACAGGAACTTGGCTTTTCTTTTTTTACCAGTGTATTCTCAGAACCTAGAACACATAAGACACATAATAAGTACTCAGTAGATAATTGTGCAAATGATAATTGTGTTTTGTATACATGCCTATGTAAACACACACACACACACACACACACACACACTCGCTCCTACCTGTTTATTCCTGTGCTCATGTTTGCTACCTGTATTTCAATGGTTAGTTACATGTATATGAATAAAAAACAGACTTTTAGAATTCAGGCCGCAGGTGCTTTAGATAATTGTCATCTCAGCTGCTACACAGAAAATGGAATATACTCTTTTGCTTCCGTTTCTTGGTGTCAGCCTGTATGTAAAATAAGAATAATTGTAATGCCTCGGAGGCATCCCTGTGCTTATTAGGTTCAACAGAGGGGATAAACTGGTTAACCAGTTCCAAGGACTCACGTTTCCCATTCAGAACTTTTACCTGAGATAGGTCACAGCAACTGTACTTCCCTCAAATATACAAACAGAACATACACAACACGTACAGCTTAACACTGATTTCCCTAAAACGCTTATTGTTGCGAAAGCTGTTAACTGCATGGAGAGAGAGTGGACTCTCCCAATGATAGAATTCTTGGATCATTCTTTAAAAAAAAAAAAAAGCTCTAACCAGAGATATCACACAGGATTGTCTCTGGAACTGATTATTTATAGGCAATAACTTCATGTTTTTAAAGCATAAAAACACCAAAACTAGAAATGTTTACCCTAACTTGGGGACAAAACCGGTTTGATAAACATACTTGCTCCTATTATTATGATTTACTTTTATTCTAACTCATTAAAATAAGGGGGCAGGGCAGCGGAGAAGTGAGGAAAAAGGGAAAACATTGGAGGTGGCTCGTTTACTCTTCTACCGACTTTATCACTTCTCAGACCGTGTAAGATAGTCCCTTTACTTAATTTATCTATTTGTTAAACCTGAGAACAGAGGCATCTTATAAAATGCTATTAAGTGTGGAAAACAACAAAGGAATCTTAAGTTTTAAGTGTCTCAAATATATTTTTACAGGAAAACACAGTACAAATTTTGTCAGCCGATATGATCCCCGATTTAATAGCTGGATACAACTTCCACCCATGCAAGAAAGGTAAGCGTTTATTTCTTGTATCTGAAACAATTGTGGCGGCTCTACGGGAAGCATGGGTGCTGAATGGTTTTCCATGATAAGGTATGTTAAATGGAACCAGTGAGAGACAAATGGGGCGACATACAAAACTTGGCCTGGCCAATGTAGATTAACTGCCTTATTAATTCAATGGACAAAAATAATCAAATAAGTCAATTTATCCTAAAGGAGGAAGAAAAAAAATTCTATGACTTTTCTTCCCTTACTACATTGCGTTGGTTTTTTGGCAAACAGAGATATCATCTTATAGGCCATCCCACTCTCCTTGGTTATGATATATTTAAGTCCTATCATTGAAATATAAAACACCCTTTTCACAGTGATGTGCATTTTGATGCAGAAATTTCAATATTAAAGTTTTCAAGTCTCACTGACTCAAAACCTTTCCATTTGCCTCCTCAGATGTCTTTCCATCATATATTCAAGAACAGGTCATTTGTTAGCTTTAAAAAAAAAACACACAGTTTTGCAAGGTGTCCTCTCATTTTTTATGTACAGTGTTTATCTCACCCAATTCTCCTAGCACCAAAGAACAAGGTGACAACTACATTTATACCTATTTGGCCCTCCTGGCTGTTACACAGGCACGAGGCCATATCTTAATATGCCTATGCAAATTCACATGCTAAAATTTGAACACTTGATTCTTTTAAAATAATATCTCAACATCCTCTTGAGCAAATTCTTCAGAATAATAGTAACAATAATCGACAACCTATTTTATCAATTGAATTAAGAAATAATTTCTTTCTTATTTCTTTCATGACCCTTCACCTTAACATTTCCTTTTTTTTAAAAGCATTCAATCACATCGCACTGAGATCAAATTAGATCCTTAATCATAAATTCCAAGTGAAAAAGAAATTTTCAGATCATACCATTCATTCAAAAATGAACATTACTGCAGGAAGACTATGAATCTATGCTATAAAAAACTTACTAAATTTCTACCCCATATAATAGATCAAGACTTTCTTTTAGGAGACCAAGAGCTATACACTGAAAATGATGAGGCACAATCTATTAAAAGGACCACAGACACTTTTAGGAATGTCTAGTTCAGAGGTACCTCAAGAAATTATTCTAGGTCAACTAATATCCTGGCATACTTCTCAGTCTCCCTGTTTCTATACAGGGATACCCCAAAAGCTTCCTGATGTCTTTCTTGTTTCTCTCTTTTGGCGGTTATTTCCTGGTTGCTGTGATTGTAGCGGCATCAATTTACCCTTTAATCAAAGCCATTCAAAAAAGTTTTACTTAAATTCTATTTTAAAAATAAACATCAATAACATATTTGAAATGTCAGCACCTCATCACTGTGGTCCCCTTTGCTGGGGGCTGTGCACCAGGATAATTAACCTTCACGCCTTGGGTTTGGGAGGCATAACTCACGTCGCGGTCAATTATCTCACTGTAGAGCCCCTAAGGATGAGAAGTATTGCTGCAAAACCTAATTAGTAATTTTTTTAAAGTGTGTATTGTTTACTTGATATTCTATAATGACTTCCTCTGAGGCACTATGGCCTATCATGGCAGGGTCCTACTTAGACAATTTTTAGCAGCTCATTGACCTGATAAAAAGACCTGCCATGGTCTGTCGGTGCCCGGCAGCCACCGTTGACAGGATGGACTGTTTAACGTTTCTTTCTAAGTCATTATGGTATATCATGTCAGGTCCCTAGTAAGAGAAGTTTTTTTTTAGATTTAGAACAATCAACTCGATAGACCAAATAAAGAGCTCCTAGCAGAGCAGAATGGGAAAAGGCAGATCTCACAGATGCCCAGTCAATCTTCTAGCTCCACATCTCCTATGGGTTGGTTGACCCAGGCAGCAATCCATAACTTAAAATGAAATTTTTCTGTCATTGCTAAGCTTCCATCCAAAATAGCAAGTACAATCAGTTACCAGTGTGGCCTAATTGGTGATTAAACAAAGAAGGCAAAAGACTAAAATACGTGAGACAGACTACAGATCAGAAAAGGATTTCTTAAACATTTAATTGAGTTAATTTTGCATTGTGTAGATCATCAATCAAACTCACCAGGAGTTTCCCACCCCACTCCCGTGCCTTTAGCTGCTATCAAACTGCTGATAAGTTAGCGAACTGGTTGAGAATTACAGAAACAAGTTGTAAAACACTCCGGGGTAACCCATTCTTACAGAGCTGGCTGGACAGATTCCTCTGCTAGCTTACCTAATTAGAGCATCCAAAAGAGTGTAATAAAGTGCAGGCTGCCGTCCCAGTTCAGCCGGGAAATGGGCACACATCCTCTAGACTTCCTCAACCATGGGAGGTCTGCTCAGGAACTGCATGCCTGCTACCTGTGAATTTACTTACAGGTTGTTTTGGTTCAGATTTAGGATTTGATTCTCCAGAAAGAAGACGGGGCAAAAATGAAAACTCCAATCAATAGAAATGCTTTGGTGACTTTAAGTTTTTTTAATAAAAATAGACATTTTAGGTATTATTTGTATGGATATCTTACTCCCTAGCTAGTCTGGGGGGGGAAGAGAAAGGAAAAGCCATCTGGAGAACAAAAACAAAGCATATGTTTCACAGAGTAAGTGAAATCTAGAAGCAAATACATCAGAAAGTTTCCAAATTTAACTATTGTGTTTCTAGAAGCCTTATAAGAAACAATGTCAGACAATATTCCATTTGAAAATAGTTTTTAAGCTGATGATGAAATTCAAAAATTCAAGCTGAGATAAAGTTGTAGTAATTCAATCTCATGCTGTAGCATATAAACTGACCACCCTAAGGGTAAGAGAGGAAGAGTCAAGACCGGTACAATACTCGGGATTTCATAGTCTTTTCACTTATCTCAGTACATTAAACATTGCCTGTGGCAGTGGGGTCAGGGGAATGTTGTAGAGAGAAGAGATGAACAATTTAAAATACAGTGTAACCCCATTAAGGAATCTTTAATAATCTTAACTTAGTTTTCAAAAAATAGCCTGCATAGCCTAAACCAGGTGTGCTCTTCACGTGGACAAGCAGGGCAGGGATTCCCAAGAGACCTAATGGTAGAATTTGAGCCTGGAACAAATGTTCACAGCTGCTGACAGACCATTAACCAGTGTTTCTAGAATGCATTTCATGAATTCTCGTTTTGGGCACCCAAGGGATAAAATCAGAGACTCAGAATCTTCGCTATTGGAATTTCTACATAAAAATGCACTTTTCATCAGGAAGTGAAACCTACTGGGTTGGGTTTTTCCCCCCATTTAGATCCTAACAGTGACACTGTGTGGATAAAGCTAGGAGTACACATGGAGCATCAAATTAAGAATACTTAGGCTAATTTTAAAGAGAGCAAATTCTGGCAGGCTGACTCGGTGTCACAGTGAGAAAGGAAGGCAAGTGAGAAAATTGAAATTTAGACTAGAGAAAAGGAGTTCATGCTTCCAAAGACAGACCTTTCTCTTACCCTCCACTATAAAAACTTAGAGGGTTTTCATACTTATGGCTGGTGGGCTTTTTTTTTTTTTGACCAATATATAGTGGATAGAAGAACTCACCACCTTAAAACCCACATAGTCCAGATTATTTTAAAATGGCACATGAGTGAAATTAGTAAACTAATTATTTCAGAGGCCCTAAGACCTGTCGTAGACTCACATGGCAGAGGGATACTGATCTATCCTGTTTCCATGTTGCAAAGAAGTATCTACGTACAGATTTTTGTAGACATGTGTGAGTCTTTTCAATGAAACATTTTAACTGAGAAGGTAAAATCACTAGTAAAATAATCTTGACTTATCATATTTCATAAGAAAGCAGTTAAAATCTGGCTAGAGAAATTAAAGGAACCAGTGATCCATCTATATGCACGTAATTTTCCAATTGTTTTTAAACCTAATTTTATATTTCAAAGAGTTTTTACTCCTCCACACCAGGAAACCCCAATTTGGGGGAGTTTGCATTCTTTGAAAATCTGATTAAATCTTCTTCCAAAATCTTTCTCCATATTCTTCCTAAAAATGCACATACACAAAACACATACATACATCATTTTATTACAATTTCAAAAGGGCTTTATGGACCCCTCGGAAGACATAGGCCCAGGTTAACAACCCTTACTTTATGAAATCTGTCTCTGCTGCTCTTTTTTTTAAACATGTCTTTATTGACTTCAGAGAGGAAGAGAGAGAGAGAGAGAGAGAGAGAAACATCAATGATGAGAGAGTCATTGATCGGCTGCCTCCTGCACCCCCCCCAACTGGGAATCCAGCCCGCAACCCGGGCATGTGCCCTGACCGGGAATCAAACCACAATCTCCTGGATCCTAGGTCGACGCTCAACTGCTGAGCCACACTGGCCAGGCTCCCCTGCTCTTTATTCTCCCTTCTCCATTTTTCTTCTTCCTTTGCCCATCATTGTTGTTCATTTTCCTTCGGAATTTTCCATAGCATGTATGTTTTTCAAAAGCATCAAGAAAATATAGAAAAAACAAACATAACCAAAATATTATTCTAAAATTACCAATAATACTAACAATTTCAGGACTATAAATATATAACTGAACCATATGATCCCTCAATCCCATTTCTGCTTATATATCCAAAGGAACCAAAATCAGTATCTTGAAGAGATATCTGTAGTCCCACGGTCATTGTAGCATCATTCACTGTAGCCAAGATGTGCAAACAACATTGTCTGTCAACAGATAAATGGATAAAGAAAGCATGGTGTCTGCATCAAATAGAATATTATTCAGCCATAGAATTGAAGGAAATCCTGCCGTTTTAAACTGAAAGTTAGTATGCTAAGTGAAATAAGCCAGGTGGAGAAAGACAAACACTGTATGATATCATTTATACATGGAATCTAAAAAGATGTTGAATTTAAGGAAACAGAAAATAGAATGGTGGTTGCCAGGGGCTAGGAGTGGGGAAAAGGGGGAGCAGTTAGTCAAAGACAACAAAATTTTAGTTGTAAGATGAATAAGTTCTGAGGATCTAATATAAAGGATCCTATAACTATAGTAATACGCTTGAAATTTGCTAATAGAGTAGATTTTAAGTGTTCTAGTAAAAAAATGGGAGGTAACTATGTCAGGTGATGAATGTGTTATTTAATTTCATGGTGGGAATCCCTTTACATTGTATGCATATTAAATGCATCACATATATTGAATCATCACATTTACACTTTAAATAAATTATAATTTTATTTGTCAATTATGCCTCAATAAAGCTGGAATAAAATGAAGTAAAACTGAATACAACACCATATATAACATACATCATACCTATATGGTAATAAATTATCTACACAAATATTAAAGAATTTAACTGTCACTTAAAATACATGGATGGGCAAAAGTAGGTTTACAGTTGTGCGACCACAAAACACAGAGTTTATTTCTATATTATTATTTATTTATTAATTATTGTATTATTTATTTATATTACTTGTCTTTTTATGATTGTTATTATTTCATATCCTTACTTACGATTTATCTTTTAAGTAACAATGGCTGGTAATTTAACCAACGGCCCATGAAAGTGGATACTGAAATAGTACCGTAAACCTACTTTTGCCTCACCCCTGTATTATTAAGAAAATGTATATGGAAATATTTTTAATTTTATTTTTCAATTAAATTCAACATTATTTTGTATTAGTTTGAGGTGTACAGCATAGTGGTTAGGCAATCATATACTTTACAAAGTGTTCCCCCTGATATTTCAAGTAACCACCTGGCACAGTATATAGTTATTACAATATCGTTAACTGTATTCTCTATGCTTTACTTTACATCTCCGCGACTGTTTTGTAACTACCAATTAGTACTTCTTAATCCTTTTACTTTTTTCACCCAATCCCTGAACCTCACTCCCCTCTGGCATCCATCAGTCTGTTCTCTGTATCCATAAGTATGTTTCTATTTGTTTGTTTGTTCTTTAGAGTCCACATGTAAGTGAATTCATGTGGTATTTGTCTTTCTCTGTCTGGCTTATTTCACTGAGCATAATACCTTCTAGGTTCATCCATGCTGTTGCAAATGGTAAGATTTCATTATTTTTTATGGCCGAATAACATTCCATGGTATATATGTACTACAGCTTTTTTATCCACTCATCTATGGATGGGCACTTGGGTTGCTCCCATGTCTTGGCTATTGTAAATAATGCTGCAATAAACACAGGGGCCACACACCCAGTAAATCACGGAGCCAGGCAATCTTATTCCAGACATCAAACTGTTTATCAAGATGCTATACACTGCTTCCCAGAGGTTTGGGCACTTCATAAACACAACTTGGAAAATCTCCAAACCATATAAGTTTACCTGATAAAAACTTCTGGAACTTTTCATCTTGTTATTGACATTGCCCAAGAGACTTAGCATCAATTTTTATGAAAACCATCATTCATCAAACATAAATTATATTCTCTAAGAGACTTGGCACTTAGTAATTGTAGTTTGTCAGTATTGGACCACGCTTTCCTTATGAATATATAATTCTGGTAGCATCAATGAGAAAAAGAAGCGAAGATCCAAAGGTTTGCTTAAGATTTCAACCTAGTCTTCCTAACCTTTATCGTGCCTCAGCTTCTATATCTTATTAGTTGCCGAGTCTTACATCTGCCTTTAAAATATCTTTTTTGTCACCCTTTTCTAGCCTTATACTAAAACTATAATTTAGGTCCTTAATACCTCACTCCTGGATTATGGTCTGCCTCGGATTGGTCTTCCTGTCTCCAGTCCTTTCAACACAGTTTACAACTTTTGCTTTCAGTGGCATAATGAGATAATCTGATAAAGAGCCTCTCTTGAAAAGAGACTAAAAAATATCCCATAGCTTTGTAAGAATCAACACCAAATACTACAGAGATGAAATTCCTGTGATGGGTTATATAACAGCAAATTTTCAACACTATATTCAGTTCACAAAAGTTTCTCTATTTGCCGTAGAACTGGGGGGAGAAAAAGAAAAAATGATAATTGAAGAAAAATTTTGATGATGTAGTTCTCTTATAAATTGGAAACAATGACCCTTGAAGGACCATAAAGAAAGTGAATGTCAAGATAATTTATTAATGTTACATTATCTACCTCATTTTTCACGTTGTCTTACTGAGCTGTGATATCCTTACAGGGTACCAAATATCCCAAACATTAGTGAACACTTTACCAGTGTATCAAAAGCAAGATAAAAAGAGCTCAGACAACGAGCTGGTCCATTGCTCCTCTACTGTTCTTTGATATCAGAAGGGCTAACCAGGATGGGCAGTGCGCACGGCTCCTGGGTGAGGCCTCAGACTGAGAGGGTAGCCGCGTGTGTGATTTTCAGGGCTTGCAACCCTTCCTGACGCTGAATAGACTCCCTTTTCCCGACGGACTGGGCCCCTTGTGTGATTCACGGCCGGTGGTTGTTTCTCCCGTAGGAGAGCCAGTTTCTATGCGTGCCGGCTGGACAAGCATCTGTACGTCATCGGCGGGAGGAATGAGACGGGCTACCTGTCCAGCGTGGAGTGCTACAACCTCGAGACAAACGAGTGGCGCTACGTGTCCTCCTTGCCGCAGCCCCTGGCCGCGCACGCGGGAGCCGTGCACAACGGCAAGATATACATCTCAGGCAAGTCCCGCCTGCTGGCGCGCGGCTCAGCCCCGGGGCACTCTCTCGACTTGTATGTCTGTGTTCCATTCGCAGGGGGTGTGCACAATGGAGAGTACGTCCCGTGGCTCTATTGCTATGACCCCGTGATGGATGTCTGGGCTCGAAAGCAAGACATGAACACAAAACGTGCCATTCATACTTTGGCTGTAATGAACGATCGCTTGTATGCAATTGGAGGAAATCATTTGAAAGGTCTTTTTTTTCTTTTAATCACAATAACATTTGCATCTCATGTTTCTTGCTAACAGGGTTTCTTGTTAGATAATCATACTTAATGTAACCAAGTAAAAAGTATGTTGACCAAAGAAAATCTACTCTGTGTAAACTCCTGGTACCACTGGGCAAGCATTTATTTTGGCTCCTCTGCAGATAGGATTATTTTTAAGTTACCACACACATTAAGGAAATGAATAATGATGTCTGTAGAAAATTTAAAAATGAAAGCATTAATAACTGAAAAAGCACAAACAATTTGTTGTAACAATGAATTCAGTAAAAACAAATTATTCCTTATCAACAAAGTTATAGTAATGAATTTTGTCCTGAAAATTGTTTTCTGTAGTAATCATAAAAACTTTAGTCATAGCTGCGCAAAGCTAATAGGTGATTTTTCTTAAAGAAAACACTTAGAATTTCATGTCTAAATTTAGAATGATCTCTTTTAAGAACCATCGATGATTCTCAAATTTTTTCTATTTGCTTTTTTTAATGAAAAAAAAACTTATTTAAAGCATAGTATCTTTAGAGGCATGTCTTTGGTTCTTTTCCTTCATATTTGTATTTGACTCCAACTTTTTATAGTATATGTGCATGTATGCAGCTTTATGTACATTTATATAACACTGAATTTGATAGGGAAACAGAGAGATGTATGGTATTGAGAATGTTGCTAACTACTTTGGACCTCAGTTTCCTCATCTGAAAACAAAGGAAGTTGATCTCTAAAAATCCCCTGTGGCTCTGACCTTCCATGATCCTTGAAATTGAACTCAAAGAGAACTAGGCCATCTGGATATGGTAGATAAGGCCCATCTGTGCATTTATTTCTCAACTAGATATCCATCTTTAAAAAATGGCTTAAACATAGACATTTTTTCTATTTTTCTTACTAAATATTTACCCCTAAATATAATAAAGGCCAGACAAGAATGATGAGTCAGAAATGTCATTTCCTGGTCTGTGTCTGCTGCTCATCTCAGCGCTCTCCCCAGTGGAAGACGGTTATCTTTCCTCCTGCAGCTCTTCCCTTTTACTCTTTGTTTCCTTCCCTGGTGCTCCTGCGTGTCAACCCACACACCATGCCCTTACATCAATATGTTTTATATTAACTTTGTAGTTTCCTGCATTACAATATCACTTCTACTAATTTCTTTGCACAAGAAAGCCTAACTATTTTAGGAACTTTTAATATTTATGGTTATACTTGGACAGAAAAGATTCGAGTAATGACAGTCTAAATGAAAAATGGCACGCATGAAGTCAGGTTGGCTCAGGGAGACACTGAGGCATTAGAGGAAAGGGTGTGAACTTTGCATGTAAGCTTAGGTTTGAATCCCAGTTATGTACTTACAGTTGTGTGGTCTTACTCAAGACACTTAACTTCATGTCTGTAAATAAGGGATAGTGACCCTTTCCTTGGTAGTTATGACAATTACAGTCAACAAAAGTAATACTTTTACTTGGTACAGAGAAGGCACACATATTCTCATATGATGCCACTAGAACCTAGAGCCAGGAATTTACCCAAATCCTCATTCCAGTTACATATGCTTCAAAAATTACCCATTATCTTAATGGTAAAGGAAAGAAATGTACCACAGAGTTGCAGTAAGCACATTACTCTGCTGTTCCAAAATCAGTGTGATTTATTTTATGTAAAAGGTTAGTGGCCTGAAATATTCTGTCTGCCTCTTCGAGAATGAAAATTATTCTACTTTTTGGTCTACCTTCTCAATTAATTTGAAGAGTCCAGTACATTGGTTTATTTTTATTATATGCATTATAATTGTCGGCTAGCAAATATACATACCATGTGTTTAACTAGGAAAAAAAAATCATTAAAGACTTAGTTTGCTCAATGACCAGGAAGCTCCTAGTAGGGGTTTTTTGACTCCCTAAATTAAAGGCAGGGACCCAGGAGAGTCCAGTAACCTAAGTTGTTCTCTGTGACCTGGCGACTGTCCCGGCCACTGAGAAACTTTATCAGAAGTGGGAAGAGAGGCCATTCGGTGGAACTTAGCCCCATACTCAAAACCTTGATTCTTAGTAGATGTTGGAAACAGTTCACATTGTCATAGCTGTTTACATAGGCTGTGAAAAGGGTAGAATATGCTGAACAACACATTTTAATTAAAACATTTTGAGAGAGTTAAATACTCATTTAAGAAAAATCTGTAAAAGTATGAACTTTGAAGCCAGTTCACTTGTATTCAAATCTCAGCCTATCTTCTTACTGGCCATGTGACTTACTCACGTCATTAACTCTGTCACCCAGTTTCCTCATCTATAAAATGAATATAATGGTACAACTATCTCATAGGATTACTGATGGGATTAAATGAGTTCATTTATATAAAGCACTTTAATAAGCGAGCTGTTTAACTTTTTAAAGGCACTCTATAAAATGCTTGCTTTAACTATAATTATTTTAAACCTTTTAAAAAAGTTTTAATAAGCCATTTTTCATAAACTCTACCCCCATATAATCAACCAATGACATCTAATCTAGTCAGATGGTTCTTGCTTTGAATTAATCTGAAACAACCGGAGTTGGGTTAGTTGTTTGTTTTAGGTCTTTCTGACATCTCTCTTAATTTCACCAGTAAATTTATACATGTGTGCCTTCAAGACACAATTATCTGCTTCTTGGCTCTAGACCATTTTTTTAAAAGAAGCTCTAGCTTTAAATTGGGACCGTGAGAGTTTATTCTTCTGTAATTCCATTTTGCTATGTTACCTAGGTTTCTCCCACCTTGATGTAATGCTCGTGGAATGCTATGACCCAAAAGGTGACCAGTGGAATATTCTCCAAACTCCCATCTTGGAGGGAAGAAGTGGTCCTGGCTGTGCAGTGCTTGATGACAGCATTTACCTTGTGGGAGGCTACAGCTGGAGCATGGTTTGTACCCCCACTGAACTGTTCCTCCTTTCTGTTTGTACTTACTTTTTGTTTCCCTCAAAATGTGTCATCCACCCATGCATGTACTTTTAAAGAGTATCACGCTTATATGCAAACAGTAAATTACTTTAAGTAATAGAATCAGCGTGGCTTCTGTAGAGCTGGCTTGCTCTCTGATCAACTGTATCATGAATGGGTTAGGTCTCTGGTTCTCTCCCTTCCCCATGCTTTTGCAATTCTGGCTTTCCAATGGTAAGTCAGACTAAAGTGGTTTGAATAGGAGAGCCTGAAAACTTTCTGACCAGAAAGGCATGAAAATGGAAATCAGTTGTTTAATATCCACAAATTCTATTTAGGATATGTAATTTATCATCGTGTTTCACTTTTTCCCCCTTTATCATTAAAGTTTCCAAACATACACCAAAATTGAGAGTAAGTGGGCCCTCATTAACACACCATCCAACTTCAACATCCATCAACATTTTGCCATACTTGCTTCATCCTTCAAAAAATTTTTACTGAAGCAACTTGAAGCAAATTCTAGACATTATATGATTTCACCCTAAATGTGTCAGTGTTTACCTTTAAGAAATCATTCATTTATGTAAACATACTGTATTATCACACCCAACAAAGTTAACAGTAATTTCTTTATATCCAATCCATACTTAAAATTCTCCTGTTCACTTGAAAAAAATTTATTTTTCAGATTGTTATGTTAAAACAAGTCTCATTTGTATTATCATCTCTTGTGCAAACTGGAACATTACCCCCGGTCCCATGGAACTTATTGTTTCATGCCACTGACTTGTTGAAATATGCAGAGTCAGTTATCATATAAAATATCCAGCATTGCCCGGCCGGGCATGGCTCAGCGGTTGAGCTTTGACCTAGGATCCAGGCGATCGGGATTCGATTCCTGGTCAGGGCACATGCCCGGGGTTGTGGGCTCGATCAATGACTCTCTCATCATTGATGTTTCTGTCTCTCTCCCTCTCCTGTTCTCTCTCTGAAATCAATAAAGATATATTAAAAAAAAAAAAAAAAAGAATATCCAGCATTATGCAGTTAGCTAATGGCTTCCTCGTGGCATCATTTAAAATTTCCTATAGACTGGAAGTTAGATATAAGGGCTTAATTAAGTTCAGCTTTTCTCTCTTTTTAAAAATATGTTTTTATTGATGTTTAGAGAGAGGGGAAGGAATAGGGATAGAGAGATAGAAACATCGATGAGAGAGAAACATCATCCATCAGCTGCCTCCTGCACACCCCTGACTGGGGATCAAGCCCACAACCCGGACTTGTGCCCTGACCAGGAATCAAACCCGTGACATCTTGGTTCCTGGGTCGATGCTCAACCTCTGAGCCACACCAACTGGGCAGCTTTTCTCTTTAAAAAAAAAAAATTTTTATTTATTTTTGCCAAAAACACTTGAGCCTCTGTAGTTCAACTTATATCACATCAGGAGACAGATAGGGTCTAACGTCTACATATTCACTTTTTAAATCATGACTTTTTATCTTTTCCTATTTATATGCGTTCATTTTGTAAGATTAATTCAGGGTTTTATTCCTTTTGCATCAAACAAGGTTGTTGTATAAAGTTTTAGGGGGAACTTTAAAATGTTATTAGTCATACAGAGGCAAATATATATTGACATATATCACCAGACACTCAACATGTGCCTGTTTGCTGGTGCAAATTGGTAGCCACAAGAAAGGCACACTTTCAGAAAATGGTTGTTAGGTTGGTGGGGAATTTTGTTTGTTGTCTATGATAAAAAGCAAGTCGCTTTGGGAAGGGAAATGTTATACAAGCACTAGCCCCAGAGGTTGACAAAAGAAACAAGGTTTTTTGTTTGTTTCTCATGTGGCCTTTTGAAAATAAATAAATCAGTGTGCGAAGAAATCAGCAAGCTTTCATTTCCAGTTTATTTTAAACTGATTTTGAATCAAGCTCTAATCCTCTCTACAGTAGTAAAATAAAAATGGAAATGTGAGGCAACAGTCTAAAATCCAATTTACTTCAATTATTTGACTATTTAAGGTGATTTTTTTTTTTTTTTTATCTTAAACCAGCAGGATAATTTCTGTTTTTTTGGTCAATTATTTTAAGGGATTTGTTGATCATCTAGGATGTTCTAGGTGCTTGACTTTTCTTATTAGTCACACACACATAAAAACATAGTTTAGAAATTTTGTCAATCTCAAATTTTCCCTTGGCTTGAAACAGTTTAAAATCCACTGTTTAATTTTGAAGTTTTTAAACAAGAGCAGACAATTGATATTTTCTTTGCAAGGTAAATGTGATAAATAAGGTTGCCGTTGCACTTCTCTGAATATCCTTCCCTAAATGCTCCCTGTTCTGCCATTACAGGGGGCCTACAAGTCATCTACAATATGCTATTGTCCAGAAAAAGGCACCTGGACAGAACTGGAAGGAGACGTAGCAGAACCACTGGCAGGTCCAGCCTGTGCAACAGTTATCCTGCCCGCCTGCGTACCTTACAATAAATAACCCCAGGAAACCCTGGAATGAACAGTATCCCGTTCTAGGAAACAATGACAGGCGACATCACTATTATAACTAGGAACAATGCAGCCGAGCGGTTGCTGTTGATGTACAAGTAACTACGAAAGAAAAAGACCTGTTCTTGAACAGATACTGTGTCTGTAACTCGGATCACAACAAACCTCCGGTGGTGACAGACTCTTCCATTTCAGACTGGTTTTGACTTGTCCCAGCTTTACAAAAACTCCTCCCATGGATCTTACCCTTTCAAAAGGAGAAAGATAAAATACAGAAGAGCACCCCCAGAGAGACCTGAGATCAGTATTGTGCATTGTAGTCTGCCTGCATGTGATCTATGTTGAAGTTCCGGGGACATTGTGTTCATGAGTGATTCAACGTTGGACCCGCTGAAGTACTCTCCCTGCATCACAGAAATTGCCACCTGATTCTATATCCCTAACCTGTGGCTACTTCACAGACTCCTTAGGCAACACAGTTCTAGAAAATCGTATCAGATTAAAGAGAAACACTTTTGTTTCTGTGTAACTGTCGTATACCTTCTTCCCCTTGGAACCTCGTGGGATCAGAAAGGAGAAAGATGCTGGCTCCTGTAGCAACTGCTTTCTGCCCTGTAGCCAAAGTCATTGTTTCTGTGTTCTCAGTTTTATCCGAAAGAGTAAAACAAAATGCACTGTGTCGCTGTGGGGTTCGTGGAGGCTATCTCGTTTCCTGCAGTGTATAAACAAGTAGGGAACACACCTGTAGTTCGCGTCAAAGGGTAGGACTGACAGGCAGGCAGACAGTAGTGTGTTTTCTGTCAGGTGACATCTGACCCAAACTTAACCCACAATGAAAACTGAGAGATGGCTTTCCAGAATTCAGGAACAAAATGAAAGAATCATTTCTTTTAAGTACAATCCCAGTTGTCTCTCTGTCCCTAAAACACACAACTTTAAAGAGCCGCAGGAGCGAATGCTAGTCCCCAGCAAACCCTCTCGCCTGGGCTCTAGAAGTGGCTTTAGAGTTGGCTCTGGAAAAGCACATGGCTTGCCCTGACTATTCCCCCAGCTCATCAGACGTGTTTGCCATCGCCAGGGACGTCTGGGCCCGGTTAAGAGCGCAGTCGCTAGTTGTCTTCGGGGCCCCGAGGACTTTGGGACCAGAAGGTCGGGAGAGCATGACATCGGCTCAGTGTGGCCTGTCGAACGAACAACACTGGCAGGAACGTGAATTTGATTTTCAAGCTCTTCGGATCTGGAACGACATCCGTTAGGAGAACATCAAAGCCTAAAATATTTTTTTTAATCACCCAGAGATGTTGTTGAATCCCTCAACAAATGTGTCATTCAGAACAACAGCGCGGGGAAGCCACAGGTGAAAGCTGCCGGGTGACGAGCTTTCGCTGCGGGACACGTCAAGGTGGACAGGGGACCTGGAGCCCGGTGCCGTTTCCACAGTCAAGTGCAATCTTTGTTGTTTTTGTATTTATTTGTATGTTCAGATCCAAAGGATCCGTTGTAAAATATATATATAAGTATATATCCAGTACAATGAACTTTCATTTCTTTTTCCTTGAAAGCATATGAGTATATAGAAGGAAAAGTTACAGTGCTTGGCGGGGAAACCCCAGCTGACATCAGGAAGAAAACAAGGTCTGCTCCAGAACCTCACCCGTCGCCTGTCACCGTGCCGCCTGAATGTCGCCGTTTAAACAAGGACATTGGCTTTCCTTAGACTTGTTCTTCATTTATTTTTTATTTCTAGCCCAAATAAATAAAAGCATTTATGAGAACTGTAAGTAAAGCTTTCTGTATTTCAGAAAGACACAAACTATTAGTGAAAAACGATTAAAAGTCACAGAGGATGTAAATTTTGTACAGTATTAGAATGTGTAAATGAAGCTTGCTTGGAAGGGGGAAACTTGAAATAAAAACTTTATGTACTAATTCAACTGTCTCTCATGGTTTTGCTTATAAAGCCTGTGCATAAATCTTCATTGAATTGTTTAAATGTTTGTAATATATAAATGCCTACATATTTTTATTCTGCAGTGTATTTTACAAGTATGGACAATGCTAAAAATTATGGAATGCTTCAGGAAAAATGTTGAGTTAAAAATAATGAGTTAAACCTGATTTTGACACTGTATGAGTGTTACAATAAGGAGTAACTTATCCAAGATCTAATAACTAAATACTTACAGAAATGAGTAGAAGCACCATATGTATTAAACAATACTTGTACACTTTCTAAAGAATCACTGAACCACACATTTGATTAGATAAATTGTCTAAATACATAGTAGTATTTAATTTTTTTTTTAATCTGAAAAAGAAGTGCAGAGCAAGGAAAGACGGCTGTGGGAGACAATAGGGAAGACTGAGGTGTGTAGCTGAAGAGTTATGAAGGGTTAGAAGCTACTTCCTGAAGCTTATAAGCTAGAAAGGATTTACTTCCATGCTTCCCTGCCCAATCTACCATTACTGGGGATGAAACTCACAATTAAAGGATTATTTGATCCCCCCTAGCATTCCACGAAAGCAAGAGTAGTGAGTTCCTCTCTTCTGCCCCTGGACCTCCCCTCTCTGTGCCAGCACAGATTCCAGAAAGAGGCTCTCTCTGAGCCAGTCTCCTGCACCATCTCCTGATCTAATGCCTGCTTGTAGCAGGGCTTCTTCAAAGGCCCGGATTCCCCCAAAACTCTAGTGCTGACCCGGTATCAAGAGCAGTTAAGTGAATATAATTGTCTTTTTCCTAATTCCAAGCAGCCACCCACTTTAAGTCCGTAACTAGATAGACGGATTAAAATTGGGAGAGTGAGCATAGGGACCAGGGTTTTGAATTAATTAATTGTGACTGTAGACTTAAAGTTACTACCTTTTTGTCCTCCCCTCTTAGACCCAAATTTCTATTTTCCCAGCTGCTTGACACATCACTTAACAAATTGTCATAATTATCAACATTGTAAGTATCAAGTATTTATTGAATATATCCCAAAAGACAGACCATAAATGCCAGAGCTCTCATTAAACTAGTTTCTCTAGGTCAAAATATTTTTAAATAAGTGAGTAAATGGGCCAAAATTGGATCGGTAAAGCATACCAAAGCCAGTTAATACACACATTGGTGGGTATCTTATAGATTGAATTCCCATAGACAGGGTAGCAGGAAGATCATGACTCATCAAATCTGACTTCCTAGAAGCACTGACCCAGAGGATGTTGAACTTTGATAGAAAATAAAATGGCAATGAGAAGCTAAAAGGCCACCCTAAGAAAATATCCAAATAGTACCTTTGCCTTGTGTAGCTGTAGCTGTATAGTGATGCTCTGGATGATGCAATAAGAATGGACCAAGTATTGGATGGGATTTCTCAGCATTTAACATATGTTAACTCTACAGGCTTGATGCAGTAACAAAAGGTTCAGTTTGAAAGATGCATAAGAAAAATAGGCTTCAAGAATGCATCACCAGGGTTTAGGAATAAGAAAAAAAATCTACAAATTGAAACTTCTGTGGCTTATTTTATTTGATTCTATTCTAGGCTATGGCCTAGCATATATTAGGGACTCAGCAAATGTCAATTCCTCACGTTTGCAGGAGTCGTAGTACCTTAGTGTTTCTAATTCACTAACGATACTAAAAACAAGATGGTTTTGAAGTGAGTCAAGATAGAGGACTGTGTACTGCTCAGGCTCTGAAGGATTAGATCTCTTCAGGTAAAGTGATCCTTGACTGTAACCTCCCCTTACCTCCCCTTTCATTTTTTACATCTGAAGATGAGTCCTCCTCTGTGACCTTCCAAGTCCTCTATGTTCAACAAAATGACATTTTGGGCTGGGTACAGGGGCAGGTAAACATATGCTGCAGGACAGGGTCACCCTACACTTAGAGAGATGGCAGGCTCCTGGCTTCCAATTAAGTTGCTCAAATCTGAGACATTTAAGAACTGATTGAACTAAATTAGGAAAAAAGGAATAAAAAGAACAGCATTTAGTTATTAATTCGAAGTTATTTTATCAACAATATTATACAAAACTTCCACTAACTGAATGCTTACTGTGAGTCAGGCACTACGCTGGGCATTTTACATCTTTTCTATTTACTCTAAATGGCTATATAAGATAAATATTATGCCTACGTTAAATGTAAGGACACATGCTCAGGAAAAGTAAACTACAGTATTTGATAAAGTTAAACACCTGACAAGTAGCCGAGCTAGGATTCACACCAAGGCATTAATCTAAGATCATCCTCAAGTTACCATACCCTCTTCTGCCCACAAAGAAATTTCTTAAATCAATCACTTGAAGTCATGTAGGAATTCCTGGAGGATTGGCTGCTTTTTTCACATATGAAGAGAATGTGCTGGAGGGAAAAGTGAACAATTAATGATGATGTATTATGGTTAATGCTATATTGTTGGTGAGAACGAACTCCTGGGAAGCACGGGAGTGGGCAGGACTAGCAGGAGCTTGCTCTGTGACCTTGGGAAGGTGTTTAGTTTCTCCAACTTCAGTTTTGTTATCTGTATATGGAGTGATAGTCATTTCTTCAAAAAACTATTGTGAAACTCATACATAAAGAACCTGAAAATACTCTGTACCTCGTAAACTCCGAAGTAAAATACACTTATCAGCTATTTGGATGGGATGACGAAGTTCAAGTGTTAGCCTGGCATGTCAGATACATTAAAATCGGGTCTCAGCCTCACATTTTCCTTCACTGCCCTGTTCACTGAGCAATGTGAATCCTTGCTTTTCCACAAACACATCTATGCTTTTCCATTTTGACCTTTTGCCTGTGTCTTTTCTCCACCGAGAATACTATTTCATGCTCAACACTATCTATTAAAATCCTGTCCTTCAAGGTCCCCATTCAGACTCCACTGCCTTCGTTAAGGCTTCATCATCACAACAGTCTTCTGTGATGTTCTTCATGGGACTTCCTATGGCTCTCTTCCCTCATCTATTCAATGCTATTCAAAAGATTTTATTGTCTTACCCTCTTACTAGATTCAGTGTTCTTTGAGGGTAGGTATAATATGCAATATGTCTTGAATAAACCATAAAGCCATGAAATATTTGTTGAATAAAAGTACTATATTTAATGTGTAAGGTAATCAAATTATAAACATTTTTGGAAATACAGGGAGGAAAAGAAAATTACCTTGACTCCACCATACAACACAATAACTTTTACTTTTGGGGGTGTGAACTCTAACCTGTCTTTTCACTTGCATTTTTTGCATTCTATACAACTGAATTTATATCTTGACATTAACTTTTTAGCATTTCATAAGCATGTTTCTATGTGACTAGGTGGTCTTTATAGTCACTGTTAATAATTTCATAGTATGCTGAATGAACATTCAAACATTGGCAAATTTTGACTTATGTCTTGGTGTCACACACAATGCTCAAACAGCATTCTTATGTGTTCTTTCTGATTCCCTCCCACCAATTTCACTCCACAGTTCATGTTCCACCTAACTACTAGTATTGTTTCACCATAACAAACACTTTGAAATGCATAAAACTTCTTGCTCTCCAGAAATATTGCTTATTCAATTCACTTCTGGTCATTTTCCTCATTTAACATTTCTGAAGAGAAATGCTGCAATTCCCCCAACCTCCAGGCTCCCTCAGAATAGTTGTGGTAAATTGTGCTTTCCTTGTGAATGGACTAGGACCACCAAGATTCCACTTCAGGCCACATGGCATTCATACAGTTTGGCAGGAAGCTCTTTACTTGTTTTACAAATTTGTCTTGAAGGTAATTCAGACAATTAAAACCAGCTGGAATAGAATGCCATTTTAAATTTATTCATTTCTTTTCCAACATGATTCACCAGTGTTAATCCAACTTGCAGGAAAGAAAGAAAAGAAGGGGAAAAAAGAACTTGAAAGCCAAACGGCCCTGGAGCTACGTGTCTGATGAGAAAATATAATCCAAATCTCTGGCTAGCCATCCTTGGGTGGTCATCATCTCCTCTAAATTCTTAGAATATTTATTATCTATACTGTTCATATGGCACCTCTCATGATTTATTTTATAGATGGTGTTTTATGATATATTTATGCTTTGTTTTAACTAATCCCATTGCTGGAGAATGTACAATGCCTGAAATGTGCTTTCCCCTCAATGCTTTGCCCATTGTGGTACTCAGCAAATGGATATTGGCTTTTAGAGGTATTGGAATCCCTGGAGTAGCTCAGTCTTTTTCACTCAGAAATTTTATGCTCATAATCTTGAAAATGTAAGTTGCACATGGATTTTCTCAAAGACAAACCTGACTGTTGCCAATATAACAAACCCTGTCTATAAGTGTGTGCAAGTTAGCTGCCTTTGTTAAATTAACCATGTTTTTCCTATTTAATGACTGAAAACCAGAATTTTAATGCAAAAACCCTTGTTCAATTGTATAAAAACCCCACTATTATGAAAATCTTAGCCCTGGTACATAAATGAGATAGTAATTGTGTGATCCTGTCCTCCAGCTCAGGAAACACAAATGATGAAG